CCACCCACTTTACGCTGTCACCACCATTCCTCCCCCCACCGCTCACCGCCTTCACTCCTCTGCCATTGTCCCCACCTGGCCGCCCTTGCTGCCCTTGGTTCGGGTTTTCAAGTCTTTTAGAAGTATTTAGAGGCTTCCAATGTGTGCCCAACCCCCCTCCTGGCACAACCGGGGTGGCCACCACTGAAGGCATCTGTTTGCACAGGAACTTGAGTGCGAGCTCGAGGGTAACCCGCCAACAAGCCTGAGCCTCTATGACGGGTTGACATCGAGGCGCTGGCCGAACCCAGCCGCCTCTGCCCGAAACTTCGGTGACAGGTCGATCTGGCAGCAAAATTTTTTCTGCTCCAGTCAATGGATGGCGGAGCAGCCACTCTCGGAGCGAACAAAGCTTTCCTTGGGTCTCACAGTCGAAGAAGTCGCTCAAGCGAAGCTCGGATTCTCTCACTGCCAGGGCCTCAAAGCTCAGCCCATCCAGCTCCCCGAAGCCTGGAAGCCACAATGCTGACCATCCCGTCCTCCTCCTCCTCCAGAAGATCTGCCGAAGACACGTGCAGCTCAACATCGGCCCCCAGTGTGAAGTGATCGTCAGTGCAAGAGTTCGTCAAAAACGTTTCTCTTCCGAGGCACTCACATCCTTTGACACCATCGAGTCTCACCCGAGAGCCATCGATCAAGCCATGGCCGGGAGCAAAAACGCGGCCTTCTTTGACGGACACGCACGGGACCCCACCCGTGCTGGCCATCTCGAGCCACTGAGGCCATGGAGTTCCTCCTTTGACGAGTCAACATTGGCACATCGTTTTGCGGTAACGGAAGAGCGCTATCCTATCTATCTATCTATCTATCTATGTATCTATCTATCTATCTATCTATGTTTCTATCTATCTACCCATCTATCTATCTATTTATCTATCTATCTATGTATATATATATACATACATACAACAAGTATATACATGCATATTCAGGTACAGCCGTTGTTGCAGTGACACCCTCAGTCGTCTCCTTCAGCTACTCTCGGATGATCTCTCGTGATCCCTGTGACCAAACGATGCCCTGAAGCTTCACACTCTCTGTGCACGCCCCCACCGCCCTCAGCGCTTCGTCCACCCCGACCTCCCTCAGCGCTTTGTGCAGCCACACTCTACGTCGTCACCACCATCACCCTCACTGCCCGCACCGGGTAGTGCTTTTTGGGTGAAATCGGGTGTGATCCGGCATCACTNNTTGGTTCGGGTGCCCAAACCCCCTCCACCCCCACCGCCCTCACCGCCCCACCAAGCTCCATGCGAGTTCGCAGTGGAGAAGCTTTGCACGACTAGCTTGGGCACTATGGCTGAAATCGGGTGTGATCCGGCATCACTGTCAACCTGCCCTTACTTGGAATTTTGTGTTCAAGGCCTGCCGCCTTCCTTGGATACTGACCTCTCAGCTTTCGGGGTCGGCGGCACTGGCGGCAGCCCGTAAATGTAAATATGTAAGCTCTGTGGACCTTGCGGGAGTTTTTGTTTAAACAATTCACCAAGATACTAGGTCAAAAGTGCGTCCAGGACCTTATCTGCTCCATTCTCAAGAGTTAAAGGGGGGTAAGAGCCCCCTCTCAGTTGCCCCTCTCACTCTCACCTTAAGGTCCATCTGTTCAAGAAACGTGGCAACTTGCATTTTGTTTTGACGCGGCAGAGCGCGTCTCCATAGCAGGTTTCAAGTCTGAAGCCTCAGTAATTAGCAAGATGCCACCAGGGACGGGTCTGTTGAAACAACATGGCATGGCAACTTGCATTTTGTCTTTACGCGGGTGAGTGGGTCTACGTAGCAGGTTCTGATGCCTCAATAATGAGCTAAGCTGCTCCAGGACAGTTCGAAGCTGCTCATAGATTAGTAACAATGGCCGAGTTATTGCTTATGCAGGGACATTCCGGAGCGGAATGAGGTCGACCAAGGTTTTACGATACGACGTGGGTGTCTCTGTATGTGGGCCATCGTAAAGTCATAAAGCAGACGATGCCACCATCTTGCAGGCAAGAAGTTTGATGGCATACGCATGTTACATATGCGCTTGCATACACGCTGCCCGAGCTCCATCTACTCTGCTTCTTGTTTTTGCCCTAGCTTTCGCGCCCTCTTCTCAAGTCTTTATGTGAATACGTATATATATATATATATAAATATAAACAAATAGTACACGGAAATATCTGAAGCACTATGCCATGATATGCCACTATGCTATGCTGTAGTACGAAGAATGATACAACATGGTATGACATAACATGATGTATTCTGACCTGGCTGGAGTTACGAATCTAGTGCAATATAATGTTCTGTAATCTGCTATGGCTTGATCTGTTGCGGTACAGCAACAGTGTTTTTGATTAGATATTAGCTTTTCCCGATTGTATGTACTCTTTACTATTATACCGCACATCAAACGTCTTTTTGTGTTACATTGTGTTTCATGAGAATATCGTATCATGCTAGGTTAGGTTGTACGATGTTCTGTTATGTTGTATCAGGTTACACCATGTTAAGTTGCGTTACATTTTATGATATTCTGTTATGTATATTTCAGTATTTCGTAGTATATGATCGTTTAGACTCTTGTTGTGTTATACTAGTTTATGGCATGTAGTATCATGTGACAATATAAACCAGTAATGATATATGTCAGCATTCGCATTGTATTGCGTGATGTGTTACCTTCTATTGCACGATTCGCAAATCATGCTTGTATGTTCGGTGTATATTAAGTTAGATTTAGAGTATAGCATAGTGTAGTATGGTATGGCATAGTATAGTTTGGTATGGTATAGTACAGTATAGTACAGTATAGTATAGTATAGTATAGTATAGTATAGTATAGTATGGCATGGCGGGTGTGATATTGCCAGATTGTTGCAGCTTGCTGTTGAAGCTGCGATTGTTTTTAAACTTCTTCGGATTTTCCAGGCTCTGGGAGACAGATCGGACTGTGCACAGAACTTGGCATTGGTTGGCAAGAAGTGGTTGCGCAAGGTTTCTTCTGCGGGCTGACTCCCGGTTTTGAAATGCATGTAGGGGCCTTTGCATTATCTAGCGGGCCTCGGCAGAACTCAATGCTGCAGTTACTGTAAAAGGCACGACCTCAGGCAAGTACGGTTGTGGTCAAAACACAGTCAAAGCACGGAGGTTCGTCCTGCAATCACAAGCCGACATAGTTCCCCGAACCTCTTCTGGTGTGTCCTTCTAAGTGTCCTTCTAGATACATATAGCAGCAGCGCGGACGCCGCGCCAGGATAACTCAGCAAAAGTGAGGAACAACATATCGATGATGTAAGAGCCGTCGGCTCCGCCCAGATGCCGCTGCGGCGACTGGCAGAGCGCTGAAGCTGCGCTGGGCCGCGCCGAGGCCGGGATTTTCCCACGCAGTGTGTACATTGAGTACACTTGATGTGTGTAGTGTTCTTTGCGTTTAGATCCTCAGCTTTCGGGTTCCAGAGCTCTAAGGCCTCCAGAAGCTTTAAGCTGTCAAGGGTGTTGATGTTCCAGATTTTGCCTTTCGTGGCGAATCCTTTAGGACGAGGTTGTTTGCGGCACTCTGAACAATATATTCAATATAGGCTGGAAGAGCTCATTCCATGGGATTGTGCGTCCCTGTTTGATTGCGCATGTGTCTGTGTGAGATAGGGAGAGAGAGTGTCTGTAAATATGAAGGTATATGTCATTATGCATATATTGTAAGAACCGTATATACATACATACACATATTCATGCATATAAATATATAGCTCTGTGTGTATATAGCTATACATAGTTACACATAGTTAATCCGGTATACAGATAAACCCTGCGGGGTAGTGGAGCCCTAGGCCTAGGCTCCCAATCTCAGAGCCCAGGAGGCGGGCCTCTTCCGACGTGGGGCGGGCGCGGCGTCCGGGCTCATTACGCGCACGTCGATGCTGCGTGGCTATGTGCCATGGCCGGAAGATTGCACACACGATCCCACCTTTCACAGACAGACTCACAGAAAGACAGACAGACAGATAGACAGACAGACACTCTGTCTCGATCTCTCTCTCTCTCTCTCTCTCGCTCTGGTTCCCGCTCTCTGTCCCTGCCTGAGACTTCGGTCGAAGAGTTCGTAAGCTCGCACATGTGAGTCATCAGGTCGAGTGTGCAAGGGACCTGGGCAAAGCCCGAAGTTTGCTGGAGCGCATGGAAAAGGACAGGGATCGGTTGATCCGCCCGGGCTGCGAATGGGTGGGATGCATTGCCCCGCCTCAACATCCTCAATCCGAGTTCCATGGATGGTTTTGTGAGGTCTGTGAGTTGAATTGGAGGTTGGCTTCCGCCCTGCAATCAATCAGTCAGACGTAGGAGAAATGCTTGGCTGGACGGCCCAACGTCCGCACTGCCAACACCTTCCTCCGTGGCTGCTTGGTTCTGGGATCCGTGGCCGATGCAGAGGTCGCATCCCTCGAGCTCTACGGAGTGATGTCTTGCCAGTTCCCATGATCTGGAATACAGTATTCGTACTAGGCGCAGGATTTAAGAATGTCAGCAACCATGTGTCGGTCTTGCTCCGACTCTGGTCAGATATGATGCGGATACGGTTCTTTCATGTGCATTAAAGTTTAATGTGAGTGTAGACCGGATGACGGAGGGTTCACAAGCAAGGGCTACTGGCAGTGAAGTTCGCTGCTTCCTGCGTGGTTGCTGAAACTTGTTGCATGTAGGTGACAGTAAATAGCTTGAGCACAGAAAAGTGTGTACGGTTTGATTGGACATGGTCAGGCTGTGCTGCATCGCATGCAAACAGTCTGGGCAGCGCAGGACCATACTCCATGTGGTGCAACGCCTTGTCTTGTTGCCGCGTTCAAGTAGGTGTGAGGCATCCACTTCAGCAAGTCAACTTCAGGATGATTGGCGCGATCAGCATGGTGGTAGACCCGATGCCTCCACATACGAGATTCTCGTGACCCTGCTGTGTCAGGCCCGCCAAATGGTATGAGAAACAGAAAGTAGAAGAAGCGGCAGAGGGGTCTTAGATGTTCAGCGTCGGTTTATTAGTTGCATCATATCGGATTTCTGGGTTTCCGTGTGAACAGCAAGACGCAGTCAGGTGTAATGGAGAACCCCTGTCTCCTGTCGGTTTCGGCAGGCTCTGAAACATGGAAGGGCCCGGAAACTGGCTGCCGTGGCCGTTGAGCGACCTGGTTGGCAGATTGCGGTTATCGGCACGGGGTGGACACTTGAGAGCGAGATATAGAAGATCACAGGCACAGTATACATCAATACGCATACATGCGTGCCTGCATGCACGTGCGACATTGAGGGAGGTTTGTGCCTTCACTCAAAGACTCAGTGCGGAATACCCCTGTTTCAACCTAGGCCCTTATCTGGAAAAGTATCAGACACGAGTAGACCCCAAAGCGACTTCAACAACATGTAAACGCACTCAGGACGTTGGGTGTAAGCCCCGGCTGCGCCGCCATGTTTGTGGCCGCAGCGAGGGCGGCCCTCATCTCAGGAACCCGTTTTCGCAGGGTGCCGCAGCGGAGAGCCGCACAGCCGTACCATCATGGAAGTAATCACCAGCATTAGCTGTGCGATGCAATGCATCATGTGCGGCCCAAATGGTGTGAAGCCTTGTGCCAGTGCAGGATGGGCTACCGGTAGCAAGCTGGGGTTGTTTCGAAACGTACCAAGTCTCGCTGCTGGCTGGCGATGAATGCAGGTCCCTTTACAGGTCACAGGTTTGATGCTGTCGAGCAGCAGTTTTGAAAACTCCAGAGCGGGAGGAGACATCGCAGCGGCCGCCGCTGCTGCCAAGCGCGCGCGGAAGACCCTCGCGCGGGAGGGTGAGCTCTTGGGGCTCAACCTGATCTCACAAGATCTGAGAAGTGCGCATGAGGGCATGTTAATGTCCTGGGATTGTCTTGATTCTTGATAGCGACCAAGATGTTGACGCTTGAAGGTAGTTCTATTGAATTGCAATTCTTTATCTTTACTTTGGCGTCATGCCCAGCTTCCATTGCACAGCTGGCAAAGCATTCCAGCAAGTATCGGTGGGGCAAGACTTGGGTGGAGTGTTCGGACCAAGCGCTGTTCGGAAGCTCGTGCTGAGTACCGGTGTGCGAAGCTTAAGTCGATGCGATGGGATGGGAGAGCGCTGAGCATCCGGCTCTGAGGTCTTTAATCACCACAAAACGCAGTGTGCTTAGCACAGCTAGCAGCCGGTAGCCTGTCAGAGAACAGGTTCTCTGAAAAGAAGCTCTCCAACTTGGCCGGCAGCGGTGGCAAGCAACTTGCAAGAGTATGCTTAGGGTTGCTCGTGGGTTTTCACAACGTATCCGTACGCATAGCTTGTGCAATGCCAGCTGAGCTAGCAGTGGTGAGCCTTCAGGTTTCACAGATTTCAGCCTTCAAGGTTCCCAGGGCTCATTTTCCCTCGAGGCGCGGCACGAAGAAGTGGACCTCGGACGGTGCCGAGAGCGATGCGCGGGCACGGAGTCTCGAGGTATTCCAGGACCATCGGCAGAGGCCGAGCCCCCGTGTATTCGGATTGTGCTGAACTGTCAAAGCGAACTGTGTTGCAGCCAGCCTTTGAAAGCGTCGCATCTCAATAATTGCATATGAAGTGGCCAGGGCGAGGTGCTTTAAGCAAATGCTTAATCTTGTCTTGCAAGCCTCGCACTCTGAGCTCTCACCAGGGAGATCCTGGCCGACCTGAAGGAAATCGAAGCCTTGCTGCCAGGCTCGGAGCCTGGCGCCAAGGCGCCCGAGGGATGCAGGGACGAGAGATGTGGATTTCGGTGCAAGCTCGTGGGTGAAAGGCTTGGGCCACAGGGCTGATAGGCAGGGTTCAGAGATTCAAAGTGCAGTCTTTGCGAAGCAGAGCTGTGAAAGCCTGGGCACACCACCGAAAGATCGTTGCACTGGCACCAAGACACAGGTGCCTGCAATCGACCTCCCCAAGCTCTTCATGCTGCTCTGTTGGCATGACGAGAGCGGGTAGAGAAAGGAGGCTTCCGAGGGGTCGTGGCGACTCGACCTGGGTGCTGCAGCGTTGGAACCCTGAAGCCTGGGCCTTTTGCTTTCTCCAAGGCGAACTCTCTGCTTCGAGGACTATGGGGACAGCCAGACGGCCGCAAGCGAATCGCTTGCGCAGGCTATCTCAGGGAATAGGAACTTCCTGTCCGAAAGCCTTTCGAACTTGCGCACTGCCGTCTCAGGCCTTGCACCGCCGCCTGTGTGAGAAGTTGGGTTTGGAGAACGGGAGCGATGCTGCTGAGAAGCTTGGCATTTCCCGAGTCTTTGCCCCGCAGCCGCATCGCTTAATGTGCCAGTCATATGCGATGTGCTTCGCTCCATGCACTCATGTCACCACTTGTGTGTCGGATCGTTAGCGCCAAGCTTCCAGAGTTGCCCAAGCCTGAGGACGGTTCGGCAGAAGTTCCGCACTCTGACGGGCAAAGGCTCCAAGAAGCGGAGAGCCGCGGAGGGGACCGAGGCGAGCACCCGGGGAGAGCGCACTTGGGCCTAGACGACCTTTCAGGTAAGCCAGGCTCCGCTAGTGGGGCTATCTCCTCGAGCTCTTCCAGCCAAGAAGCCCTCAGCATGCTTGGCCTTGGCCGTTCCACCCTGCCCAGGCCTAAGCAAATTGCCAAATCTCACCTCAGTCTTTTCTCTCCCGGATCCTGGGGCCTGGGCCCTAGACTCTCTTCCTCGATCTGCTGTGTTTCGCCCGCTAGGCCACCGTGCCCAGGGCTCGCATCGATTTGCGCGGCCTTTTCGCTGAGCCTGGTGAGGACTGATGCATGTTGTGCCAACATCGGGCCGATTAGTCAGCTGCTTAGAGAAACATGTCATCAGCAGCGATACCATGCTATGTTTACCGCTTATTTGTGTTCATATCCTCTATCATCTGGATTTTTTTGGCGTCATCGGAGCATTCATCATGATGATTCTGCCGCTCCTGCCCCTGCCATGTGCTTCCATTGCTTTTGCCCCTCCTCCTCCTCCTCCTGCTCCCTCCTCCTTGCCTCCCTCTTCCTCTGCTACCACTGCTGCTGCTAGGTCTCACCCGCATGCAACAAGAAAAAAAGCAACGCTGTTGTTGCTACTGCTTCTTTTGCGAGACCCACTGCCGGTGATGATGATGATGATGATGATGGTGATGATGATGATGATGATGATGAGGCCGGGCGGTAGCCATCAGTTCTGCGACGACAACGACGACGTCAGCGACCACTCCTCCTGACTCCTGCTGTCCAGCCATTGTCTGTTTGTATCCCGCCGGGCGATGGTCGTTCTATTCTCGGGCACGGGCATTTGGAGACCTCGAAACCCGACAGCCCTGCAAGGAGTTCACCCAAACACTGCACTTGGAACTCTGCAGCGGTTCCGGGGAGTGGCTTTGCTCGCAGGCCCGGCTCCCCGCTGCGAAGAGAGGAACGGAAGAGCAACTGGCCCAAGATGGCCCAAGTGCCCCACGGCGTGCTTTTTTCACTTGCAAGGCCTTGCGCGACACCTCGGTGAACTGGGTCGCGTCTGAGCTGCGCTTCGACCGCGCTGCGCGGTGCCAAAGCACGTTTCAGCAAACTTCTCCACAACATCATAACGCTACATCTCTTCGTTACACTAAATTCAGAGTCTTACCAACTCTGGCTGTTTTTATTCAGCACAAAAGCTTACTGACATGGACAAGCATGGTAAATGCAACTACTTCCGCCAGTTCTGTGTGCCTAATACGTCACGGAAACGCATCGACAACGCAGCTCAGCCGCCGAGCCCTGGAGCAGCCCTACAGTAGACATCACGCCCCAAGACGGACTCGCACAACTGCCAGCCTCAGTTAGGTACCCTCCCAGGTGTGCTTACTTACAAAGAGTAGACCTGGGTGAAACGTGTAGGATCCAGCACCAAAGCAATATCGAAGTGAACCAGCTCGAATTCGAGCTAGCATCTGGCACACGCCAAGACAAGAACATCTCTAGACTCTAGCCACTAGAGAGCAACAAGTTTAGAATCCAAGACAGAAACTTACTTCTTTGCTCTTCCCCCGTTTCGGTCCCTTCCTGCCCCTTGCTCGTCGGAGGTGCTTCCAGCGGTTTGCCCTTCGCGGCCTCGCCGCTGAAGGAGCCAACGCCGGACTCCTCGTGGGCGACGCCAAAGGCACCCTGGAGGCGCCTCCTGGACGGCTCTGGTTCTGCCTCTCTGTCTTCTCTCTCTGTCTCTCTCTCGCGACAGTCAATAAGCTGTTTTCCTCTGCCGGAGCTCGTGCGTTTGGCTTGTGTAGTGTCGGGAGCCACGAGAGGATCCCGGCTGCAGGGTTGCAGATTGTTGGGTTTTCGAGGATTTGTGGCATAGATGCCAGGCTCGAGGGACTTTCAAGTCAAAGGGATGAGGACTTCTACGGCTACGGTGCAGGGATCCCGCCCTCCAGGGGTGCGGAAGGTCTGCTGCAATGGGTTCGGCATTTTGGAAGCTCCGCTTCACGGCACCTTCCAGAAGGGCTTCGCTGCTCGTGCGCCAGGCCCACCTGGTGCCTGGTTGTGTGGCACGGCTCTTCATTAACCATCCAGCGCCTGGACCGCAAGTGTCCTGAGAGAATTCAATGCCACAGTCCTGGGAGTTCTGTGAGTTTTCGGGCTGTGTGTTGGTGCTTTCCGCTGGTTACGTGCAACACGACTGCTACATTCTGTGTGTATTGTGGAGCTTAAGATGCTTCGGATTCGGGTCACAGAGAGTTGCGTGCGTTGCACGTGTTTTCGGAGTTCGGATCGTTCGGGTCATTATCCCCTACAGTAAAAGCCTTGGTGAGGAAGTATTCGATTCCTCATTTTCGTCCTGTAGTGCCTTGCGGCACCTGATAGTTGTCGTAAGGGTGATTTACCCAGTTTGCGGGAGTCGTAACAGCCGCAGCAGCAGCAGCACGGACAGCCTGCTGGACATGAAATGGATGTGGTGATGGTCTGACAGAGGAGGAGAGAAGGAGGAGGATGTTGAGGATGAGGAAGGCGATCATGAAAGAACTTGGTGGGGTGCGAATGCTGTGGCTGCCGTACGACGTGCAACACACAACAACAGTAGTAGTAGTAGTAGT